AATTTCCCGGTGTTTATCTCTGCCGGCATCTTAGTTTCTCCAAAAATTCGACATTTTTAAGTGTAAAAATATCTATGATGTTAACACCTTCAGCAAATTTGACATATGAAGTTTTGAAGCGTGCTGTCAATACAACAAAATAGCATACATATCAAATTGCATATATATCAACATATGTGTAACTCCACATCTATTGAAAAAATCTGCATTATTAACCCGTACACCTGGTAAAAACATTTTAGAAGAAAACAAATGAAGTAAATCCTTGGCATAAATACTTAATCCTATATCTAGGAGAGGTAAGGCCCCTTTAAAAAACAAACATCTGGCCAGTGTGGCTCAGTTGGTGGGCATCGATTGGTGCACCAAAAGATGGGTGGGTCTTTTCTGGTCAGGGCACTTGCCCGGATTTGGGGCTTGATCCCCAGTAGGGGGCGTTCAGGAGGCAGCCCACTGATACTTGCTCTCTTGTCCCTGTTTCTCTCTCCCCCTCTCCCTCCCTGGGAGTGAGGTAGAAGCTGTATTGCCTTTTGTGATCTAGCCTTGGGAATTGCAAAGCATCACTCCTGTTTTATTCTGGTTAAAATAGACCAGATCCCATCCAGTTTTAAGGGATAAGGCATAGACCAGAGAGGAGGTCTCTGAGAGACAGACAAGGTCACAGTGTAGGAGAATATGCGACAGGAGGTGCTGCTGTGGCCATCTTTGGAGAAAGGCAGATCACATGGAAACTGTATTTTCCAGATCTTCCCCGAGGTCTTGTTTACCTTCACAGTTGGAGAAATAACTTGTCAAATAAAAGCAAATACAATTTGCCTGACTGGTCAGGATACAAGATGAGATACCGAATGCATTGTCAATATCTTGCCTTAAGAAGAGAATTGAACTGATGAAAAAGTAAAACACCAAATCTTTATGAGAATTCTAAATTAAGATCCTCCGTAAATATGGGCTATTATGATCATTGTTTTTTGCATTTCATAGCATCTTGTGACTGTTTTTACTTAACTGGTCACTGAAACCTCGACAAGCATGGAGATCAGGTTGGAAGTTTTGACCTCAACCACCATCAAGCAGAAGAGGCCCTGGCCCCGCGTCTCCTGGTTGGGCCAGGTGGGTGTTTCTTTCTCGTACCGTCCAGTCGTCGTCTGTGTGGAATGTGTGCTTGGCCTCTGAGGTTGAAGAATGGTCTGTGACATTTAAAAAATAAAATCCGTCTTTCAAGAATCACCTGCCCACAGAACAGGGTTTTGTGTTTGTGTATTGCCTTTATTTTTTTTAAAATATGTTTTATTGATTTTTTACAGAGAGAAAGGGAGAGGGATAGAGATTTAGAAACATCGATGATGAGAGAGAAACATCGATCAGCTGCCTCCTGCAAACCTCCTACTGGGGATGTGCCCGCAACCAAGGCACATGCCCTTGACCGGGATCGAACCTGGGACCTTTCAGTCTGCAGGCTGACACTCTATCCACTGAGCCAAACCAGTTAGGTTGTGTATTGTCTAGTATAGTGAGCAAGTTAGCTTTTCCAGAAAGTTAAATGTTCTATCAAGAAGAAATATTTTAACAAGTAAATCTAAAAGTCAAGTGAATAAATAATCTGATGAACAGAATAAACTGGTGAATATAATAGAGTCAGGGGTATAGAAAGGGAGTGGACTGACTATTCTCAGGGGGAGGGGTGGGGGATGCGGGAAGAGACTGGATAAAAATCGTGCACCTATGGATGAGGACAGTGCGGGGGCAGGGTAAGGGCAGAGGGTGGGGTGGGAACTGGGTGGAGGGGAGCTATGGGGGGGAAAAAGAGGAACAACTGTAATAATCTGAACAATAAAGATTTAATTTAAAAAATTTTTTTTTATATTCTGTTTAGAAAGGTGGCAATGGCATATAGCAAAAAGGAATTTTTAATCTTCTGAACCTTTTCCTACCGGAACAATCCGTGGTTTTTATGAGTGTGCAACCCAGTGGCCCTTAGACCTGGGGTGAAGGTGGGTCACAGTGCACTAACAGCCCAGGACACTACTCACAATACATGGGATAGAAGCCTCACCGCAGGGAAAGTGGGCAAACCTAGATTTATCACAATTATTAAAATTAAATTTGGTGGTCCCTGTCAGCATGGCTCAGTGGTTGAGCGTTGACCTATGAACCAGGAGATCACGGTTCGATTTCCGGTCAGGGCACATGCCTGGGTTGCCGGCTCAATCCCCAGTGCAGGGTGTGCAGGAGGCGGCTGATCAGTGATTCTCATCATTGATGTCTCTATCTCCCTCTCTCAAATCAATTTTTAAAAGTCACATTAAAAAAAATTTGGTGTTGTGTCATTTCCTCGGAGAAATTATACCGTTAACTTACCTTCTCTTGAACTTCACGGTGGTTCATACCCATCGGAGGGCTTGTTAAAACAAGGGCTGTGCCCCATCCCCGAGCTGCTGGCTCAGTGGGCCTGGGGTAGAAGAAGATGCATTTCCTACAGGGTCTCGGGGGTTGCTGATGCTGCTGGTTAAGTGGCATTTTGAAAACCACTGCCCTGGGATAATACATGAAGGCAAAGTTAATTCAGAACAGCAGACTTTTCCTAGGTAATAAAAATGACCAGCGCCCTAACCGGTTTGGCTCAGTGGATAGAGCGTCGGCCTGCGGACTGAAGGGTCCCAGGTTCGATTCTGGTCAAGGGCATGTACCTTGGTTGTAGGCACATCCCCAGTAGGGGGTGTGCAGGAGGCAGCTGATCGATGTTTCTCTCTCGTTGATGTTTCTAACTCTCTATCCCTCTCCCTTCCTCTCTGTAAAACATCAATAAAATATATATTTTAAAAAATGATCAGCCAGGGTTGCAGAACCCATATCTGTTTTAATCTAAATAAGTAATTTAAAAACTTGTCCATACTAGGGTTAAATTGATGACCCAGTTTTGGCTAGCAGAAGACACTCTTATAAAATTTTAAACCTCAAAGCAATCTAAATTGCATTTGTCAGGTCATTTTTACCAAGCAATTTTAATGAGGTATTTTAAGATAGAGTGAAACCATGTTCAGCCTACCTAGTCAGCCTTATGGTTCATTTTAGGATTCATGGTACAAAGGTACGTAATCTTTCTTAAACGTCACTTTGTGTTCTTTTCTGGCATAATTTGGATAAGAGTTTGAATGCACTTCTGCCACCTCTTAAGTCTCAGTGTTTCTTCTCAGGAAAACGAAGCCGTTTTTCTTTTGGATGATAAACTCATACATGAAATTAATTTGCTGTCGGGAAGGACAAAGAAGAAAATCCCTCGCCTGCAGCCTTTCTTGAAGCATCTTGTGGTCCTCACAACGTCCAGTAATGGTTAAGTAGACCTGGTGTTTCCAGAGGCTGAGGCAACCTGAAATATCTAACCATGTGGGGCAATTTCAGGGGCACTTTTAGATTGTTAAGGATTGCATTTCCTTTTCGGAAACAGATGCCTGGCTGGCTGGGGTCCTTGCTACCGGGGAGCTTTTCCTTTGGAACAAAGATCAAGATTGTTTGAAAACTATCCAGGCAGCTGAGAAGCCGAAGGAAATGATTAAGGCTACAGTAGGTGAGAATGTGTTTGTTTAAATTGGTTTTAACTTGATAAAACAGGAAGGGAGGACGAAATATTTTCCTATTGCTATTTTTAAAAAATCTCTGTGTGTGTGTATATCTCTGTGTGTGTACATGTATATTTCCTTGCATTTTTTTTGGTGGTGTTTATTTGTGATACTTAGATTCATCTTGGATGAATGTAGTCTGGTATGCCTAACATATCTGATAACAAAGTGTTCCTAATATCATGTAAATATGTGATATGTTACTATTATTTGTACTTTTAATTTTTTACTACTGCCTTAGCTTTACATCCTTAATGGTCACATTGTTCTGGTTCTTTGTCAGAAGAGATAAATTATTTAGCCTCTGGATGGAATTCAGTCTTCAAGGTTTAATTACTTTTTTAACTTTTTATTTTTAGCAAGCTCGTTGAGACTCTATTTGTATGTCTCTGGAGATGGAAAAAGAGTTCTGATTGTAACTCCCCCTGGAGGCATATTTCTTTGGGAATATTTGGAATTCAGGAATGTCTTGTCTTCTAAAAGCCCTTCATTGAGGGGCCAGTGGTCCCAGATCACTCCTGAAGACGCAGTGCGTTTGCCTTCCCCTGAAGATAAAGAAGCTGTGGTGCATGCTGTTTTCATAAAAAATGAGGTAAGACCCACATCGGACAGGGGGTTCAAGGAGACGAGCCCTCGAACTCTGACCACACACTGGAGTTAATGAGCACAGTGGGCAGTGGCATCACTATACATCTTTAGTCACCATCGTCCCAGAAACGGTGAAATTATTGTGGAAAATACATTGTTATTTCTTGTTCACATTTTTAGAGGTGTTTATAAAAATGGTTTGATATTAGAGC